GTAAATAACAATGTTTTAGTACGTATTGTTTCTTATACAATTACTTAAGCCATTGTTCTTTTTTTGCACTACCGATTTTTTTAGGTTAGGACAATCGATTCGATATTTTAATCTGTGTGTATCCGTTTTTTTAATATGTAAACATCATTATTATAAAGTTTTTTTAAACAGTAATATTTCAAAAGTTTTGTATTAATAGATAAGTAATGGTAAAAAATAGACATAGACAATGTAAAGATTAAAATATGAGTTACAATGAGTTATGATTAGGACCATGGTTACACATAGCCACACAGTATAATTTTCGAGAATTATCGATTGACAGTTGGTATCGAACTATTATTTGTTAAATGCTTTATTCTTTTTTTGAATTAAAGTTTTTAAGGTTATTATTATAATAAAATGTGTAGTTACTAGGTAGTTCAGTAAGTTCTTTTTTTTTCGAAATCGCACGTATCTGCCGCCGACGGCAGCGTCGCGTGGCGTCGGAAAAAATCCTTAATAAAATAATTGTATTATAGAAAAATTTGCTAATTTTACATCGATTTTCTTGACGTTTTGTCTCTCAAAAGTATTCATAAATTAAACATTTTAGAGTAATAGACAAAATTGATAGATTTTTTTAGTTTTCAAAGCTTAATAACGAATAAAATTAAAATATCCACAAATATGTAGATAATATTATTATTATTTTTATATGAACAAACTAAAAAGTACCGTTACTCAAAAAATAGGTTTGCCCAATTATTTTATTACCTTTTACTGATTTCTAAACAAAAAACCACGGTAAACAAAAAAAGCGGTTATTACGTTTTACAGTTGCATTGTTCGACTTCAAAAGGAAACGCCGGTGAACTTAGTCGGTTACTTTGTGTCACATTTACCCAATAAAATTACCGCCATTAAGAATTTACCGCTATTCATAGATAATAGATAATAAGTAGGTAATATGTTTTTTTTTATTGACTTTTTTAAAAATGAAAAATAAATCGGTTTTATATGATGAACTTTTTGGTGCAAGAATGAGTATGAAATTGCTGAATATACGTTGCGCGTTTGAAGTTCGATGTTATTTGTTTTTTTTTAAATGATATATTTACACAGACACGTACATAAACTAAGGCCTTTGATTCTCCTATGGGGATAAGTTAAGTAGAAGCTACCTAATGATACCTACTTATTCGGACTTATTCTACTGTTCTCTGAGTGAATTCACAAGGAATGCTTTGTTTGTAATTAGTTATAAGCAATTTTTTTTTTTTTAAATAAATAAATAAAATTTATTAAAAACAACATAGAACACATTTAGAATTACAGTTCGCTCTGATTTTATAGTAATAAAAAGTCTTAATAATAACACTCGTAATAGTTTACTTAAACTGTCAAACACCAAGCGGTCACCGGTGACCGCAACCTATTGTTCTATAATTGTGTCTACAAAGACGGTACTCGACGAGTTAATCTAGTCTTATACAATATACATGCGAGGAAATAACGTTCTAAGTATACAATATATAGGGATTACCCGAACTAGGTTTAAATGAATCAGGATTAAATAGTTCGCATTTATCGCATTGGGTCATCCTGTAATAGTAAATGTAAATTTAATACTTTTAAACGACAGCTTTCTATGAATTTTGTACGAGATTGTGTATTGTGACGTCAGGGTTTTTTAGCGTCAAACAGCTTAATATGTAAGTACCTACTTATTTCTTAAAAATTTGCTGGAATCGTACTAAAATTAAGGTGGTCATAAAATTGATTAATGAAAGTATGATTATTTTTTGTATATTTTATTGTATTAAATTACCAATATTAAATTACCCAATTCTAACCAATAATTCTTTAGCTTCCATTGCACTGATACCAACCGGGGCCGTCGGACAGACGTGATTTTTATCCTTATTTTTTTTCTATTCTACTGAAACTTTTTTGATAATGCATTAAAAATATCAACATTTTTATTCTTCTATTGGATACTTAACATTCTATACTACATTTACGATAAACGAGTATAGGCTTCACTTTTTTCAAAGCATTTTCTTATTTTTTATACTGCTACTAGCGACCCGCCCCGGCTTCGCACGGGTGCAATATGCATGTATTATACATACAAACCTTCCTTAAGAATCACTCTATCTATTAAAAAAAACCGCATCAAAATCCGTTGCGTAGTTTTAAAGATCTAAGCATACATACGGACATACAGCGAAAGCGACTTTGTTTTATACTATGTATTGATGATATTTGATACGCCACAAAAGCTTACGAATCACCTGACACTAAGCACATACAGTATTGTTAGTAATCTTGCAACACCAAAAGCATCACAATTATGCCATATTACCATTAAGAACCATGTTTTTGTTCCGCAAGTGATCAGAACAAAAAAAAATTTAGTGCCTTCGTTCAAAAGCGATGTGTATTTTTTTTATTATTTTTTTTTTATTTATTTAAGTAGGTGAGTATATAATATTACAGAGGCAGTATGAGTTAGTTTGATGTTTAAAGTAAACGAAACGAGTCCACGTTCAGCGTTGTGATTGGTTAGTTCATTGCCGCCGGCCAATCAGAGCAGCGATCGCCGATTGATCACGAACATTATTTTTTCAAATATAATAATCACCTATACTTAAATATCGAAATCAATAAAAACCAGTTACTTAAGTATTGTATTGTAATTTTTAACAAAAAAAATCTTATACTTTTTCTAGTTACTATTTTCAATATCAGAAAAAACAGTATTTTTTTTTCGTTGAAATATTCCGATAAAATAAGAATCTAACAATTTGACTGTACAGTTAGTGCACCGGCTGCCGCGCAACGTGTCGCGGGTCCGATCCACGAATTGTTGTTCCGGGCCTGGGTGTCATGCATACCAATGTGAACTGAACACCCACAACAGAGGAGAAAATCCTAGTGTGGGGCAACGATTTTTTTTTAATCTACATCTTTTGTTTTCTTTAATTTGTGGTCGATTTTATTAGTAACTAGCGACCCGCCCCGGCTTTGCACGGGTACAATATGCATGTATTATACAACCTTCCTTATGAATCACTCTATCTATTTAAAAAAACCGCATCAAAATTCGTTGCGTAGTTTTAAAGATCTAAGCATACATAGGGACAGACAGACGGCTGATAGCGACTTTGTTTTATACTATTTAGTGATTAGACAAAGTACCGTAGGTCCTAATATCCTACTTATATTATTAATGTGTAAATTTTTGAGTATGTATGTAGGTATATATGTTACGCTTTAACGCAAAAACCACTGAGCAGATCTGAATGAAATTTAGCGCCGAGACAGATTATAGCTTAAAATAATATATGGGGTACTGTTTGTCCCGATAAAAGCTAAGACATTGACAGAAGCAAGCATTAAATAGGTGTATCACTTATACTTAAAAATGGGTACGTACGTAATTCGATTTTTTTTTATTGTGAACACTATTTTTTGATTTAGTCTCTGGTTTTTTCTTTGTAAATTGTATTTTTATGTATATATTTAACACGTTTCGAGTTTATTTGATGTTTTGGCTCGTAAATATCACGTTAAGTACCTAAATGTATTTTTTTACTATAAACATTGTTTTTTTTTTTAATCTTTATTTAATAATAGGGGTTTTTTTGCCTTAGAGACAATGTCAGCCCTATTATAGTACAATAATAATACCAATAATATCGATGAATAAAATATTTCTCTGTACGTTTGTTTACGATTTAGTTGGGTCAAAAACCGCTATGATTTTTTTTTTATTATATGGATTATAAGGATTTTTTAACGTAAAATGGAGCTAAAATCAATAAAAACCAACAGATGAAATCAATAATAAAAAAATATATATCCTTACCGTGCTGTCTATCATCCACTCCGTCACTATCAACCTCACTCCTCACGCTTCCAGGACTTGCCCTCTTCAGTTCCTCCTGCTGCCCTCCCTGTTCACTCTGAAACCCTCCCATCCTCTTATCGTAGCTCATAAAAAACGGAAAATTCGGGACCCGATTCTGTTGAAAATAATAATTCATTTTCCCATCTCTAACTTTGAGCTCTTCATCTTCGGAATGGTCATTAGTTCCAGAGTAATCCTGAGATATGCTGTTTTCTATATCAATTTCAGGCGAACGACGATCATTGATTCCAACAATCGATTCAATCGAGAAGTTCTTCGATGGTAATTTCGTTTGCATTTTGTTAATCTCCGATTCCATCACTACACTAACACTGGCCACTGCGCGATTCGAAATTCGAATTGTATTTCGAACGTCCGAATGTCGGTTGTGTACTGAGGTTAATGTGGCGTTGGACCGACGTCGGGGACCACGCCTTCAAATGAGGGGAGGTTGTTCCCATTGTACTGTACAAACATTCAAATTCCAACCTTATCTTCAGTTGAATAGAATTCAAATTCCTTTACATCTGCAAGAAAGTATATTCGGTAGCATGTTATCAGTAACACAATTTCATCTCTATTTTGAAGTGTAAAGAGTTCTTTTTACAATGTATGTAATAAAAATGGATACATATTATGATTTCGGTATAATGTGACAAAAAATGGCTACTAATAAATAATTTAAATAAATAAGTGCTGCGATGATGCGCCGTATTAACAGCTGCTATGAAAGTTTATTCGTTATACCACACAGACAGACTATATTATATCAATTTGTATGATTATGGCTTATTTTATTGAACAAGGATTCTTCGTTAAAATGAATAACATAACATAACATAACATCACGCTTTTTATCCCCGAAGGGGTAGGCAGAGGTGCACATTACGACACTTATCACTATACTTACCTACAATGTAACACCCACTTTTCACTATTTATGTTACGAGTCTCATGTAATAGGGGATGAGCCTATTGCCATATACCGGGCACAATTCCAGACTCCGTGCTACTACTGAGATTTTTTTTAAAAACCTAGTCATACTTTGCCCGACCAGGGAATCGAACCTGAGTGAGACCCCTTACCCGGCAGTCGCACTTGCGACCACTTACATTTAAACATTACATGGGACTCATAACATAAATAGTGAAAAGTGGGTGTTACATTGTACAGTGGCATTACCTAAGTACCGTAATGTGCTCTGCCTACCCCTTTGGGGATAAAAGGCGTGATGTTATGTTAACTCGCGACTTTTAGTTAATTTAGTACCTACGTCTCACGATAGTTATTATCTATACATATAATAAAATCGTAGGAAAGTGAAAACTGTATACCTACATCGAATATTTTTTTAGAAAAGAATGCTTTGGTCGTGATCTGCAGTCGATACTGAAACCAATAATATGGTTTTTAGAATTTTTGTCCGTTTGTCTGTATGTATGTATGTCCGGGATGAACTCAAAAAGTGCTGCATGGATTTATTTCAAATTTTGCATGAATATTACTAACAGGTCGGGTCAACATAATAGGCTACATGTTATCATGCTATCAATATCAACCACAGGGTAGGAGCTGTGAATCACTATTCGACGCGGACGAAGTCACGGGCTCAGCTAGTAAAAACGTAAAAGTCCGTAATGTCCGTTGTCACCAACCTCTTCTTTCTAAGGTAAGTACTTACATACATATACTTCACGCCTGTCTCCCATGGGGGTAGGCAGAGACTATGGAACGCCTATTGCCACCCGTACTTTATAATAAAGTATTGTACGTTATTTAAGGTAATTGTACCTATTCTATACTTTATGAAAATAATAAAGTACACGAAAATACTTTATTTTTGCAAACTTCATTTCTATTAAAGTCGTAAGTATTTTTCGGTAAACTTATCGATTCGATATCGATATTTATCGATTTATGTTGAATCGATTTCGCCATTCACCAGCGCCACTTAGACAATTTCTAGTAAAGATGCAATTGTTTAGTTAAGATACTTCTTTAATACAAACTGCAAAAAGTAATATAATTTTTTTTTAAATATAATACTAAATAACAATAAATTGTACTTTATTTGTGTACTGTGTACTTTTTTTTCTTACCTATAATCGTCAATGTACTTTAAATACCAAAAATAAAGGTGGCAACCCTACTTACATACCTCTTTCGCTTCATCAACAGTCATCGATCTTTTCATGCATGCTCGTCGGTTAAGGGTACTTATAATTTGGCCCTTCTTTAATATATCGCCAATCTGGTCGTTAAAGAAGAAAATAAGTCTAGGGCGCCCTCTACCGACGTTCCCATTCATATCTGTTCTGTGAGGAACGAATACAAAAGAAATATAGGATTTCTTTTGTTAATCAGCTTGTATCCATCCTTTCTACAAGTCCAACCCATTGCTTATATACCTCTAGAAAGGGGTGTTTTTTACTGCACCTCTATTCAGAAATTTAAGCAAACCAAATTTCTCCACTAATAACCTACTGCATATAAAAAAATGACTGCACTACAAATTAGCTACATATTACAAAAACATATTATATCGTACATCATAAACAAAAATACTGATTTGCACACAAATTGTTCAATATTACAACGGAATTTCCAAAATAGGTTAGGTTAGGTTATGAATTATTCCGGTCAGTACTCGACGACTGGCTCGGAGGGAAGCACGGCTCCCTGTCGTTTAGGGTGATGCAGGTGCTGTCGGGACACGGCTGCTTCGGCAAGTACCTGTGCCGCATAGAGAGGGAGCCGGACGCCCGGTGCCACCACTGCGTCCATTGCGGGGAGGACACAGCGCAACACACGCTCGCCGAGTGTGTAGCTTGGGAGGAGCAGCGCCGTGTCCTCACAAATGAAGTAGGAGGCGATCTGTCGCTGCCGGCCGTAGTGCGGAAGATGGTGGACAGCGCAGAGTCGTGGGACGCGGTGGTGTCTTTCTGCGAGGACGTGATGTCGCAGAAAGAAACTGCGGAGCGGGAGAGGGAGATCTTAGTGACTTCCTTTCCCAACTGCAGACGGCGCACCGGGCGCAGGAGACAGGCCAACAACGCCCTCTTCCGGCCCCCATGAATGGGTCGAAGGACTTGTGGAAGTCTCCGCCCCCGATTCGGTAGACTCGAGTCGAAGGCGCGCGCGGGTGTCGGCGCGCGCCTTTGAGGCGATGCACGTGGCTACACATTGCTACGGTGCAGGAGACGAGGCCCGGATGGACGGGCCGGCACTGTAATGCGGGGCTGCGGATGAATTTGGACTCCCGCGGCCCCGCGCGCACGTGCGAGGAGATACTGGGGTGGTTTTAGCCGGTAAGAGTCCGGCACACCCCTCCTCTTTTCCCCAGGCGGAGGCAGTCCATGAGGATTTCCCCCATTAAAAAAAAAGGTTTTGAATTATTAGATTTACTTCTAGTTAAAAGATAGTCATTCAGTAAAACAGTTAAGCTTTAAAGATCTAAACAGTATCAGTGGCGTGCCATTGGAGAGGCCTATGTCCAGCGGTGGACGAGAATTTTTTTTTTTAAGGGGGGAAAATCATCGAATGCCTGCTCCCTCCTGTGTGAGGCGGGAGGGAGTGTCAGACTCTTACTGACTAAAAACCACCCCGTTCCTTCTCCTGCACGTCGAGCCGGAGCCCCGGTTACCCGTTAGGTTCTCCGTGACTCCGGGTGGACGAGAATAGGCTGTTATTAATGAATGATGATGTTAATGTCCCAACAAGGTAATACCTAGTGAGTCTGAGTAGGTGGGAGCCTATTGCGATATATACACAAATTCAGACTCTGTGTTCTGAGGTGAACCTACAAGAAAACGGGTTAAATACCTCTAATTCCACATTCTAACATTGTGTCGCGGTGGCCCAAAGGTTTAAGACGCTTCTCATGAATGAGTATGTGGGTTCTAAACCTACCAAAGGCAAGTACCAATGTGACTTTTTCCGAATTATATGTACTTTCTAAGATTATTTAGACACCACTGACAAACGGTGAAGGAAAACATCGTGAGGAACCCACATTGAGCAAACGTGGTGATTAATGCTCAAACCTTCTCCGTGTGAGAAGAGGCTTTGCTCAGCAGTGGGCATTTATTATAGGCTGTTGATGATGATGATGATGTTCTAACATCTATTCGCTTCATTCTTAAATCTATTCACACTTTGAATTCTATTCACCCCGTTTTACGGTACCTACTGAGATTTTTAACATCATATTCTTGGCAATCACATTTGTATCAGGACATTATACTAATTGTATTCGCTTTGCGGTGCCATCTAGCGCCGAAAAGTTATATCATTGACACATGCCCCAAATCGACATTCAACGCCATCTACCGAGCAATGGCAAAATGTACTAATCAACAGGATGACTTGGAAATATTGCTAAATACCGCTAGGTGGCAATAAAAACAAAATTAGTTTTTAGGTTTTATTCGTTCTAAATCATAGTTTCGACTATTTATTTTCTTTTATTATATATTTCTTTTTTTTCTTTATTCTTTAGCTGATTAGTAACAAGAGAGGTGTGGATCGAGAGTCGTATGATCGTATATATCGTAGACTCTACGACGTGGGACATACTAGGGGTGCATGTTGCATGTGGTAATCTACTCTGCCGTCATCACACGACTCTACGATGTATGTCCCACGGATGTCGCGGAGAACCTAACGGGTAACCGGTGCTCCGACTCGACGTGCAGGAGAAGGAACGGGGTGGTTTTTAGCCAGTAAGAGTCTGACACATCCTTCCGCCTCACCCAGGCGGGAGCAGTCATTCGATGATTTTCCCCCCTTAAAAAAAAAAAAAAAAATTATGTCCCACGGATGACGTAAGAGCCGACTTAGGCCGTTTGCAGTAGCACTCTCTGATAAGCCTGACAAAACCGGGGAATTATTTAAATTACGCAGAATCCTAAGATTTATGTGACTGTTGATGAAGATGATGACACCCTGTTCGCTAAACCATTTTTTTTTTCAAAATCAAAGCATTTATTTCAATTAAACCATAATTTGGTACTTTTGAAAAGTCAAAAAATACAAAATAAATAATAGTCTGTCAGTCAGTCCGTCAGTGAAGCTAGGTGAAGCTAGGTGTTCAATGTTCTACAGTCGGTGGCGCTGTGGGCTGGGTCGCTCCGTTCCCTACGAAATGGTTGATCGGATCGATTGCTGGCCCTCACGTCATGCTCGTGAACGGGCGCCTTCTGCTGGAGCAGGTCGGCTCGCTCATCGCGCGTGTGGGCCGATCCAGTAAGGTTAATGTAAATGTAATAAAACATGTATTGTGTATATATAGATATTAGATTTAGACACAACCTTCTTTG